GCTTGGTGGCGGTCTTGAGCCAGAACCGCCAATCGTGGAAGCCTGATTCTAACATATAGGGGTGGGGATTTCTCCACCTCTTTTTTTCTTGGTCACTTGAGTGACTAAGTTAAGTGACTAAGTCAATCTCGCTTAAAAGTAATTCTCATTGTACCATTGCAATGGATTGAAACATAATCTATTGTGTAGAGTTCTCCAATTAGGCATGCTTAAATCCGCTTAAATCTCGCTTAAAATATATCCGTATTAAGTAGCACATATCACAAAATATTCGTATATTTGTCAAGCAAAAAGAAATGAGTATGACAACTGAAGAAATTAAAAACCTATGTGATATCCTTGAGCATACATTGCACATAACAGGACAGGACAAGGATAATGAACTTGTCAAGAGGACTATTGATTTGTTCAAGGCTCAACTCAAAATGAGAAAGGCATGAGGTGGACTACAGAGAATCAACCACGGGAGAGAGGAAAGAAACAACCAACAGGAAAGGTGAGGTTGGTGGTTAGAGTTAAGCCAGAGACCAGGAGTACTTTGGCAAGCATCGCATTGGTGGCAAGGTACTGGATGTTTATGTTAGAAATTTAAAGGAAGAGTGATATGATAGACCAAGTGCTTTCTGCTGACCAATGTGAGGAGTTGACGGAGTTCGGAATTGACATGAGTGATGCAAGTTGGTATCAGGCAATTATTATGATGGATAGTATTCCATCAAAGGTGGTGGTGTCAAAAGATTACGCTTTGTCTTGGGGCGAGAACTGTCCAGAAATCAGCTTCACACCAACATACACTCTCCAAGATATATTAGAGAAACTTCCCACCAACATTGAGGTAGAAAGAAAGGATATGTTTGGCGATGATGATAACCGCTATTATGAACTTGATATTAATTTTGAAGAAAAGTATATCTCCTACCACGATACCACGATTTTCTTCACGATTCTACTCTAATTGTTTTTGAATACGAGAGGTTGCTTGATGGCGCATTTGAAATGTTAAAATGGGTAATGTGATTGAATATAAAAGAGATAAAACAAAGATGATAATGATATGAAAGTAAAAGAATACATTAAGTTGTTACAGAAACTTCCGCAAGATGCGGATGTGTTAATTATGAAAGAATATTACGATGAAGATTTTGCCGATTTTGCTCAGGATCCATATTATGGAAGAGAAAAACACACAGAAAGATTTGTTGGTGGCGAATTAAAATATGATTATATAGAGGGTGTGATTATTCGTTAATAGATAGAAGAACGACATGAAGAAATCAACCATTATGAAAACATTATCCTTGGCTTGTGTGGCAATGGATTTAGTAGGCATTATTTGGCATATCCATGACCATAATGTCTCAGCTGTGTGTGGATATATAGATGCTTTACTTGGTTGGGGAATAGCATATTTGCTAATTAGGAGTTTTGTTTAAAGACTGATATTTAAATTCAATTCTTTACATCAAGAGTATCTTGGTCACATCTTGGACATATCTTGGACATTAATTGCTATTCTTAAAGATTCGGAATTTCCGAATAACCACTTTTAGTTCCTCATCTTTTGATGGGGATTTTTTGTTGGCATCTTAAAAGTGCTTATATTGCAAGCGTTTATTAATTATATTGCTATGAAAGTGATTAAGTTAATTGTCAGCTTTTTTATCCTCTGCCTTGCCTTTGTCGGAGTGGTTGGAGGTATAGGAACAACACTTTGTTCAAAAGATTACATTATTACGTTTGGAATTGTAGCTCTTGCAATTATGGCCATACCATCTGCCGAGTTCCTTGTTGAATACATAAAGAACTATCATGAAGGCGTGGATTAATGCGCATGTGGACAAGATTCTTCATGCATTGGTATGTTATGCCATCATGACCATTCTGGTGCCATTTGTAGGCTTTGATTGGGGTGTTTTGCTTACCGTACTTGTTGCCATTGGCAAGGAGACGTATGACCTTCAGGATTACGGTCTGTTTTCCTGGGGCGATGTTGTCGCTGATCTGGTGGGAATTGGTGCGTATGTTATAATTTTTACATGTATGTGATATGGTTGTACTTATAGATAACGGACATGGTTCTGATACGCCGGGAAAGTGCTCACCTGACGGACTATTCCAGGAATGGAAATATACCAGGGAGATTGCACAGATGGTTGTGAGGTGTCTCGTGGACCAGGATATTGATGCAAGGTTGCTCACTCCGGAGAAATACGATGTAAGTCTGAAGGCGAGAGTTGCAAGGGCGAACGATGTGTGCCTCAAGTATGGCAAGAACAATGTCATACTGATATCCGTACATGTCGACGCGGCAGGAGCGGACGGGAAATGGCACAATGCAGGTGGCTGGAGCGCATACACAAGCAAAGGGAAGACAAGGTCTGATGAGATAGCGGAATTCCTGTACAAGGCTGCGGACACTTCTCTTGTCAAGTATGCGGAACTGATGCAGGAGGGGAAGAAGACAAACCTGTATTCCAAGTCACAGACCGTACTTCGTAAGGACCAGACAGACGGAGATAGTGACAAGGAGGAGAATTTCTATATCTTGAAGAATTCTCTATGCCCTGCCGTACTGACAGAGAACCTTTTCCAAGATAGCAGTGAGGATGTTAAGTTCTTGCTATCTGAGGAGGGCAGGGTTGCTATTGTCAGGTTACACGTGAATGGAATAATTAACTATATCAAGTCCCTATCATGACCAAGAAGGAAATTTTTGAGAAGATCCTGAGAACTACTGCGGATGTATGCAATGTGAGTTCTGATGATATTATTGATGGCAGTCGCAAGGAGGATGTGGTCACGGCTCGCACGATATGTGTGTTCTGGTGTTCTGCAGCAGGGTTCTCTGTGGAAAGTCTTGTGCAGTGTACGGAGGTGAATAATGCCTATAGTATCAATGCCGTCAAAGCGAGGATTGAGGAGTATTGGGTTGACCGTTTCGCCTTCCATATGCTATGCAGGGAGGTGGGCAAGAGGTTGCTTGAATATGCCCATTCTATTGATGAGGACTTTGATATGGAACTACCTCTGAGGAGGATTGCCAAGGTGACGGGAAAATACTGAAAACAAGCAGAAAACAAGTTTATAACAAGATTAAGGCAAGTTGCAGTCTATTAATAGGTTGCAACTTTTTTTGTGTCTACTTTTGCCGTAATCCCAATATCGGGAGAGATATACAAAATACAATACAACTATGGGAGACACAACAAGAATTTTTGTGCCAGACGGAGGAGGTAGCTTCGGTGGCAATGGTTTTGAAGGCGCGCTTATCGGCAGCATGATGAATGGCGGTGGCGGTTTTGGAGGAGGTTCCTGGAATTCTCCAATCTGGGCGCTGGTATTCTTGGCTTTCTTGCGTAATGGAAATTGGTTTGGCAATGGCAATGGTGACAATGCACAGCTATCTGCCATTCAAGACCAGATTTCAACCAACCACGGACAGACATTGCTGATGGATGCCATCAAGGGTAACGCAGGCGCCATCAGAGATCTTGCCACAACAATAGGTTGCAACCACAATGCGGTGACAGCTGCCATCAACGGTGTGCAGAGTGCTATCTGTTCCGTAGGTAATCAGGTTGGTATGGGTACTGCCCAAGTAATCAACTCAATCCAGAACGGCAACATGAGCCTTGCCAACACATTGCAGAACTGCTGCTGCACAATCCAGAAGGATGTGTTAACTCAAGGTTATGAGAACCGAATCAACAACCTTCAGCAGTCACAACTTATCCAGAACGGCTTCAGCCAGGTAGGCTATGCGTCAGCCGAGCAGACATGCGCGCTGAAGCAGAATAACACAGACAACACCAACCGTGTCATTGCAAAGCTTGACCAGATAGAGGATTCTCGCAAGGATCGTGAGATAGCAAGTCTGACAGCAGCTCTTGCTTCCACACAGGCACGTGCCGAGCGCCAGGCAGAACTTGCTCCAATCATGAAGCAGCTCAACGACATTGCCTGCAAGCAGCCTCAGACTTTCAATGTGCCTTACCAGCCATTCACAGCAATTCCTAACTGCGTGGCTTATCAGGCGTTTGGTCTGAATCCTTATGGATATAACAACGGCCAATGGTCATAATGAGGAAAGGAGGGCATTATGGCTACAGTACCATTGAGATTCGCCAATACCAGGGGAATTCCTATGATAGAGGTGCAGTCTGTCACGAATACCACAGAGTTGGCAACCTTCAACTTTAATGACCATCCGCAACGTAGGGGCAACTTCTTTGGAGGTTTCTGGGTGAAGATGCCATCAACCGCAGGTCTGACAGGAACAGCCAAGGTAGAGTTCGCAACATTGGGGGTTCTTGGGAGCAATTTGCCATTGTATCTGTATGATGGCACGCAGGCTACCGCATTGGATCTGTCAACATTGGGAGGAGTTCTTTTGTGTTTCTACGATAGAACAACTAACAGGTTGCAGGTGGTGGGAATCTAAATCAACAATCTAATAATTAATAATCATGTTCAGTAACGCAAGACAACTATTCTTCCTGGACAGGAGCGCAGAGATGCCTGTTTGGAAGAAGGGGGTAATTGAGGAGAAGACTCCCCAGACTCCTAAGTTCAACACAAGTATCATTCCCTATGGTCAGCCACAGAACACTCTTCTGAACCTGAAGGTCAAGTTTGACGATGAGACCACGGGGTTTGAGTCAGTTCCGTCCGATGCCAATGTGCATTCGTATGGCAATGCCATCATAACGGACAATCTTGATGCGATGAATGCGGAGGTGGAGAACCTCAAGAGCATATCGGTAGGAGTGATAGAGAGTGTGCCTCTGCATGAGAAACTAGTCCGCAGGTATGATGAGATACTACGGGAGATGAATCCGCAGTATGCCAAGCAGAAGGCGCAAGAGGAGCAGATTGGCAAGCTTGAGGACAAGATGGTCTCCATAGAGGATGCGCTCCAGAACATCACGGGAATGTTGTCTTCCGTGCTGACTAAAAAGAAAGGAGAATAACTATGGGATACATGGTGGAGATAGAGAAGGCTGATGCGATGGAACTCTCAAAGCACATTGATAAGGCATTGCATCATGCAGGAAAGGCGATGAGTATCGCAGAGGAGATGTGCCAGTCTGGCGAAATGGGCGAGCGCTACGGCAGCCGTTATGGCGATAGGACATATTATGGAGGTTATCCTCGCAGACCGATGGGAATGCGTGAGGAGGAGATGCCGGAATATGATGATTATGGCAACCCTATGGGTATGCGCCGTATGCGTGACAGCAGGGGACGGTACATGTAAGTGAAACCAGGGGAGGGGATGCTGTCCCTTCCCCTTTTAATTTGATTACGGACTATGAATAGACAAGCATTGGATTTCTATGGCGAGATGCCAAAGGAGATGAAGAACTACCTGCGCCACAACGGCTGGCACTTCAATAAAAAGTCATGTGAGTATGCGGTATCCATGATGCGCAAGGCCAATCCTGCAACGGGCAAGACGGAGGCTGTGGAGAAGATGACAAAGGAGCAGGTGGAGGAGATGCTCCAACGAAATAATGTAAAGTTGGAGAACCTTGTGGGCTATGACCATGTATATGTTGCGAATATGGTCAAAGCGGACTTCTGGAGGTCATCTGTGGAGGATGAGAAGCATATGGCGCTTATGGTGAAGGATATTGTTGATGATGCAGACCAGGCGGACGGATTCATCATGCATCGGTGGTATGCAGATATGATAAGGGCGGGCATGCCTGTTGAGTGGGAGGACATCGTATGAAAACCTTCAATCTGTACTACGCCAAGCATGACTGGCTTGTGAGGGTGTATGTGGCTGTTGACACCTATTACGCTGAGGATATTGTTGAGATGTTGCAGGCTATAGGATGCTCAAGGAAGGACTGCGCGAGAGCCAAGGGTAATCTGACATCGGGATATCTTGATACGGGATTGTGCTACTCCAACTACAAGGACAGGATTTCCGTACTTGTGATTGGAAGGACGAGCTCGCCGGGACAATTTCTTAACTCCCTTACGCATGAGGTGACACATCTGGCTACACATATTGCGAGTGCTTCCGGAATAGATCTGCTGAGTGAGGAATTGTGCTATATTGCCGGGGATATTTCCATGATGATGTATGACAAATGCCATGATCTGCTTTGTTGCAAGTGCAGAAGGAAATAAAGTGATGTGCTTGCATTAAAAGCACCAAAGATAAAGTTATCTTTGTGTCCGTATACATACAATACGGACATGGAGCAATACAATCAGTTGGTAATAGTCCTTTTCATTACATTAGGAATATTGATAACTCCTTTACTTTTCATTGCATTTGACTTCTGGGCAGGCATCAGAAAGGCGAAGGAGAGAGGCGAGAGGATAACAAGTGACAAATGGAAGCGTACCGTAACCAAAATCTCCAGGTACTACAATATGCTTTTGGCATTCGGGGTGCTTGACGTGATGCAGGTAGTGGGATTCTGGTATCTGAATGGCTATTGTGGGTGGGGAGCGCCTTTGTTTCCTTGGATTGTGCTGATAGGTGCTTTTGGCGTTGGTGCCATTGAGGTCAAGAGCATCATGGAGCCGGCGAATGAGAAAGAGAAAGCGGAGTTCAGAGAGGTCACAAGACTGGCAGAGGAGATTGCCAAGCATAGGACAGACCCGTCAGAGATGGCAGAGGCTATTGCAAAATATCTTACCACTAACAAATTCAGGGAAGAATGAAATACATTACTTACTCCTTCGTCTTATTTGTCCTTCTGTGTATTGCGTATGGGATAGGCAGGGGATGCGCACAGGCACAAATTGAGCTTGACACGGTCACAAGGGTGGACAATCCGCAATGTTGCGCATTATGAAACCATATACCAGGAAAAGGCTGTATTTGTCAATCCTCTGCCATTGGTGAGCATGGTGACGGACACAATTGTAGTTCATGATACGATATTGCTACGCGAGTCCAAAGTATATGAGGACAGCAGTTATACGGCTTGGGTGTCAGGAATAGATCCATCACTTGACAGCATCGAGGTCAGGTGCAAGGTGAGGGAGGTCAAGGATACTTTTGCCGTATATACGGACAGGATTATAACTGTAGGCAGGAAACCCAAAAGGGTGTCCGTAGGATTGAATTCAGGCTATGGCGTAGGCAGAAATGGAATGACGCCATACGTTGGCATTGGCGTCAGTTATAGTATATTTGCATTTTGATACCAGTTTGATATTCTCATATCTATATTTTAGGATGATCGGGCTCCTCTGTCTGGGAAGATGGGGGAGTTTGTTGTATAATTGTATTATTGTTTATACCTTTGGCAAGTCAATCCTAAATATGAGATGCTATGAGAGTTAAATTTTTATCTTCAATTGTATTGCTGTGCGCAATGTTTTGTTCTTGTTCAAGTTCATCTGACGAGGAGAGTTTTGATGACAAGTTGAGTTATATCCAGGTCGTAATAAAACATGATGATGGCAGTGAGGTAAAAGAAAGCGAGGGAGCTCTTTTTTATCATGCTACAGAGGAAATAAATTTTGTAGGTTGTGCTTATGGTGCCAAGAATATGTATTTTGCCAAGTCCTCTAATACAAGTTATATCTTACCAGTGTCAAATGTTAATGGGGATAAGTATATAGAGAACGGCTCTGATTCTAAAGTGCATACTTATTATCTATATGAGTTGAGTTCTCAGTACGGAGTTCCAGATAAAGGCAGTTATTATGTATGTATCAAGCCTTATGCTGAATCTGTGATATGGAAAAAGTTTAATGTGCAACGTAATTCAAGAGTTACAGTTACTTTGCCAGGTAAAGGAGATCCTAAGAATGCCAAATGGGTAATAGAAGATTTAAAGTAAATAAAAGGGAGGATTATTCCTCCCTTTTTTAGTCTTTGACAATTGCGTCAATGAGCTGTCTGTTTGCCTCGTCCACCTTGGACCATGCAAAATTGATATAGATGGCGGTTATCTTGCTTCCGTAGCGGTGTCCAAGTCCTTGTGATACCACTTCCACAGGGATGCCGAGTTCTGAGCATACTGTTGCCCAAGTATGACGTGCCCAATATGATGAAAGCTTTGGAAATAGAGGTCTGATAGTCTTTTTGTGTCTTGATGTTTCATCAACAACAGGACCTATTTTCTTGAGTGACAAGTCAAGTCTCTTGGTGTAGTCTTTGTGATTCTTTACTCTTTCCAGGATATTGACAAGATATTTGCCATGTCCACGGAGGCGCTGGATGAGTTCCATGGCTTCCGGCTCAACCTTGATGCTGTACAGTGTTTTTGTCTTGGACCTGTTGAACTGCAGGCGTCCATTGATCAAATCCGTCTTCCACATGTTGGCGAGGTCGATGATGTTGATGCCACAGAGGAAAAGGATCAGGAAGAACATGTCTTTGTATTGCTGTTGCCATGGCTCGACCTTGTAGCGCCAGAACATCCTGAGGTCAGCCAGGGAGAGGGAGCGCTTGGCTGTCTCAATGTTTGTTATCTCATACTTTCTGAATGGATAGTATGTGATAAGATTGTCATCTATCGCATCGTTGAAGACTGCGCGGATGTTGCGCAGGTGGATGTTGCGTGAGTTCTGAGATTTTGAGCCAGTTGCAAGGAATGACTCGAAATGGTATAGCCATGATTTGGTGATATCCTCGAACTTGAGGATTTCAGGGTCTATGCCGTTAAGGAGGGAGAATTCCTTAATTCTTTGAAGCGTATAGTTGTAGATTTCCTGTGTTCTTGCCGATGGTCTTGTATCGGCGAACATCTGCATGCGTGGGCAGAAAAGAGTGGGCTCCTTGTCACTTTTAGGCGCAAGGTGGTCATTTATGCGTACAAGGATTTCTTTGGCTGTGAGCAGAGTTTTTGGGCCAATGATGGTCATCATGGCTTCATCCATGTCATTGTACATTTTTTTGATTATTTTGTTGTACAAGTCCTTCTTAGGATTAAGAATCACTTTCCCATTTCTCTTGTCCCAATGTGATGGAGGGATTGATACGCCGGTTGGCATCATGGCAGACGTTTTACCATTGCGTATGATGATTTTGACGGGGACGTCCTTGCGTGGGTCCTTGCCTCTCGTATCAAGATATAATGACAATTTAGCCATGCTTCACGATTTTTGCACGATTTTTGGGACTGAATGTTACTAAAAAGGACCTAAAAGGACACTTTTTATATAGAAACTCCCATATTGCGCATTATCTGCCTATTTAATGATAAATTCCAAATAACTATATCTTAGTCATTTGGAACTATCATTTCAATAGTCGGGGCGACCTGATTCGAACAGGCGACCACTCGCCCCCCAGACGTGCGTCTTATGTTAGGTTAACTCTTTGCTTTTTATTACATTAAGGCGCTTTTTGAATTTGCAGAGATTCGTTTTTGCACGATTTTTGCACGATTTCTGGTCTTGTCCTTGCCGAATGGCTCCCCATTACCAGTCAAAAGCCAATGCGCATCCATACCATAATCGTTGACAAGGAGTTCAAGCCAAGACACCTGGAATTGGTCACATGCAAGGTCATTCTCAAGGTGCCAGAGGTTTCGGCGGTTTATTCCGTACTTGGTGGTGAAGGTCTGCCTTCCTCTGATAATCTTTCTTTCCTTGAGAAGGTCAAGAGCTGTGAAGAATCTCTGCACAATAGTCTGGGATTGCGGGTTATTCATATGATGCAAGTCTTTTGTTCCAATCTCTTAAAATCTCTGCTTCAAGGTACAAACGTTTTGTACCCCTTGGCAAAATACTCTCCAATCGTTTCAACCTCCTTCGGTGTGAGAACAGGGAAATAGTATCTCTGTATCTCTGATAGTGTGTATTCCATATGTTACTTATGTATATTGATACTGTTTTCTGATTGTTTTGGTGAATGCATGTTTACCATTCTCTCCACCATGTGGTAAAATTGTTCGTGTACTTTGTCCTTCTCCTGTTGGATCCTTGAAATTTCCTCTCGCAGTTTGATGTTCTCGTGCTGAAGGAGGTCTCTCTGCGCAGACAGCTCATTGATGTGCTTCTCGTACTTGTCAATGATGTTGGCTATTCTGGAATTGGCCTGCTGTATTATCTCGTTTTGCGCCATCGTAGCCTTTGCAACGGCTTGATAGCGGTCTTCAGAGCGTAGGAGCAAAACGCCAAAGGCGGAGACCATCTTGTCTGGCAGGTCCATTTCTGACCATGCGCAACTGCCAACAATGCTTTCTGATAATTCGTCTGGTTCCAACTTCTTGAGAAGGGTCTTGATTAGATCCTCTGTCAATCCTTTCTTTTCTCTTGTTTTCATGGTTATATATATAAAGGTTCAACAAAGGCAGCTTCCGCTGTCGTCTATCTATTGCTCATAAGTTCTTTCAAAATTTCCACCTGACCAGAGAGGCGGGCATTCTCTGCCTTGAGGTCAGCGTTCTCCTGTCTTAACTTTTCGTATTCCTCCACACTCACACCAACGGAGCTATGGGTGACATTCCCACCTGCAACAATTCCATTGTTATCACCAAGGCTGATGTCGATGTTGTTGACATGCTCGTCTATCAGCATGGGGCCATTCCCTGTTAAAAGCCAAGAAGGATTAATGCCAAATAATGATCCAAAATTTTCTGCTTGTTTTTTCCCGAATGCGGTTTTGCCATTTAAAAGCGCTCCAACATATGCCTGGCTACATCCCATCATGTCTGCAATCTGCTTTTGGGTGTAGCCTTTTCCTTTAAGAAACGATTTTAGTTGTTTTTCTATGCTAACCATAATGAATTAACTTATAATATTTTATAAAAAATGTTGAAAAAATAATGAAAATAGTTTCCAAAATATTTGGAGTATAACTAAAACCATTATATTTTTGCAATGTGTTTAGAAATAAAAAACTAAAAACAAAACCAAAACAGGTATCAAAAATAACAATAAAAATTCAATTAACATCCTAAAACGTAAAAAAATGGAGAATTCAACAATGACAATGGAGAGAGCAATGAGCCAGATTGATGAGATGAAGCAGTTGGTGGAGTTCAAGGATCAGATGATTGAGGAGAGAAATGCGGAGTTGAAGGAGCTCGCTGATTACATGGTAGACCTCATTTATGGCAATCCTGACAAGCAGATTCTAAGACTTAGAGCAATAAACATCCTGGGTGAGCAGGGGCTTGTCAAGAGAGTGATTGAGAAGGGATATGACCTAAAGGAGGATGATAAGGCAATAATTCTTGAAACACTCCAGGCGTATGTATGAGATAGTAGTATTGAAACCTTACGCCAATCCTGAGAGGGTTGAGCGTAAGGAGCTCTCCCTAAAGGAGGCGCAGGAGATAGTTGGTGGATATGTAGAGATGGTAAGGCTGACCAAGGACAAGATAATGCTTGTTGATGAGGAGGGGCTCCTCAAGAGGCTCCCATACAACATCCCAGCCACAGTTGTAGCAGGAAGGCATATCGTAGGCACCGCGATAGTGTGTAACACAAAGGCATTCAAATAAATCCGTGAATGGTTCAAGAGGGAGTTCGATTCTCCCTCACGGAACAAGAGTTAAACAATTAAAAAATATAAAGACATGAGCAACATTGAAGATTTCAAGTCTCCGGTACAGAAGGAGAGAGAGGCAAGACACAAGAAGATCTGTAACGATTTCAAGGTTATATCCAAGGAGCATCCAGGACTGAGCAAGAACAAGTATTGTGTATGGCTTGGTAGCAAGTATGGTATGACATCGCAGGGAATTAAGGTTGTATTGATGAAAAACGGATTGCTATGAAAGGACATTTGATGAGAGCGTTGAGGATGCTGTTCTTCACCTGCGCATGTTTTGGATGCGCAATGTTATTCATCCAGGAGATGTGCAAGCAGCATTATTTCGTGATGTTTTTGGCTGCAGTCGGATTTTGCATAATGCTATGCTTCTACGACAAGGCAAGTTTGGATTTTGACAAGGGGCTGAGAGATGTTGACGAGCGAGAGACCGGTTCTGACAATGGGCGGACACTATAGCATTAATGCTGCAGCCAGGGTGTTGGGGATACACAGGCATACGATGAGAAGATATGCAGACCAGTATGGTATCAAGTATTCCATTCACAAGGCAACAGGAAGGATTTATTTCCTTGGCAAGACCTTAATGGAGTTTTGGGAAAGTAATTTTTAATAAAGAGTAGGATATGAGAAGAATCATTTTGAAAAAGTTGGCAATGGTCAATTTCAAGGGAGCAGCCAACGTAATCACAGAGTTTGGCAGAAACCTGACAATCATCAGCGCACGCAATGGTCTTGGCAAGTCAAGACATATGGAGGCTTTCCTCTGGTTGCTGACAGGCAAGGACAGCGAGGACCGTAAGGACTACGAGGTGAAGACCAGGGATGCCAATGGAGAGCAGTTGCACAAGGTGGATTGCATGGTGTCAGCGGAGATAGAGGCTGATGGAGAGTTTATCACCATTGAGCGCAGAATGGTAGAGGAATGGGCAAGACCAAGAGGACAGCAGGAACTTGTATTCAAGGGAAACAAGACCGAGCTGGTGTGGAATGGTGTCCCTGTCAAGGTTGCGGAGTTCAACCAGAGGATGGCTGAACTTGTGGATCCTACGATATTCAAGGCTATAAGCAACCCAAGGTTCTTCCTCACAATGGACTGGAAGGCTCAAAGGCAGATGCTCCTTGAGATGGCAGGAGCGCCATCCAATGAGGACATAGCAAAGGACAATGCGGATTTTGTCAAGTTGCTCAATGACCTTACAGGTAAATCTCTTGAGGATTACCGCAAGGAGGTAAAGGCTGAGAAGAGGAAGATACAGGAGGAACTAAAGGAGATACAGCCAAGAATAGACCAGGTGTGCAAGATGATGCCGGAGGCTGAGGACTGGGTAAGTCTGGAGGCTCAGAAGAGTGTCGCTGTTGGCAAGCGCAACAAGGTGCTTGAGGCGAGAGCAAACGAGATGGAGGCGTACAGGCAGAGGAATGAGGCTATTCTTAAGATGCGTGCGCAGGTGGTTGACCTTCGAGCTCAATTGAGCATCATGATGAGCAAGGCGGAGGCAGAGGAGCGTACAAGGGTTGCAAAGGCCAATTCCAACTATGTCATGTTGGATGATGAGATACAGAGCAAGAGGAAGGAACTTGCAAGGATGGAGAAGGACCTTGAGATGGCCAAGGATGGACGTGATTTTCTCAAGGAGGAGATGAAGAAGAAGGAGGAGGCGCAGGACGCACTTCGCAAGGACTGGATTGCAATCAGTTCAAAGAGATATGATGGCAGTGACATTTACCCATGTTGCGGTCAGAAGATGCCTGAGGCGCTTGTTATGAAGGCTGTGGAGGCATTTAACGAGGAGAAGAAGAGGCAGATTGATGAATGCAACCGCAAGGGACTTGCCCGTAAGATGGAGATTGTGCAGACAGCGGACAGAATTAAGGACGAGGACAAGAACATTGAGGAGCTGGAGGCGAATATAAGTCTGATGCAGGCGTCTATCCAGGGAATGGCTGAGAAACTTGGCAAGATGCAGTTGATAGAGGGCGTGGAGCTCAATCCGCAGTCAATACCAGGATATGAGGAGACCGAGAACAAGGCGATGCAGTTGGAGGCCAAGCTGGCCAATATGCCGGAGGAGAAGATGGGCGAGACCATGGACAATGATATGGAGGACCTTGACGCAACAATTGAGAATATCAATGCGAGACTTGCCAACAAGGAACTGATAAGACATTATGAGGATGAGGTAAGGAACCTTGAGGCAAGAGGCAAGGAACTTGCGGGATTGGCTGCAAGGATTGAGTGCCAGGAGTTCACCTGTGACAGGTTCATCAAGGCGAGAATTGAGGCGGTGGAGCATAAGATTAACGGAATGTTCACGATGCTCAAGTTCAAGATGTTCGATACTACTGTTGATGGCAATGAGTTCGAGTGCTGCATCCCCATGCTTGATGGCGCATACTATTTAAGTGCGAACAAGGCAAAGCAGATGAATGCAGGTCTTGACGCAATAAATGCAATAAGCAGAAGATTCAACGTGGCAGTGCCTATTTTCATTGACAATGCGGAGAGTTGCAATGACTTCCTTGGCACGATGGGACAGCAGGTCCGTCTGGTGGTTTCTGATGGAGATCTGGAGGTGAGACAGGGAAATTGACAAAGTATTAATCTTTCATTTTATACATAAATAATTATGGCAACAAACAACAGTCAGTTGGCAGTGTCCAACTTGAAGAGCTTCAATCAGGTGATTGTGGCAGACAAGACACAGGAGTATTTAAGGCAGGTGCTTGGAACCAAGAAGGCGGCGTTCGTGAACAACCTCACAGCATTGGTGGCTAACAATGCGATGCTGCAGAGATGCGACCCTTCAAGTCTGATGTTCGCAGGTATCAAGGCAACCGCCCTTGACCTGCCATTGGACAGCAACCTGGGATTTGCATACGTTATCCCTTACGAGAACCGCAAGGCTGGTAAGGTAGAGGCACAGTTCCAGATGGGTTATCGCGGATTCATTCAGTTGGCAATCCGTACGGGCAAGTTCAAGACCATCAATGTGACAGAGATCAGAGAGGGCGAGATTGACAGTTTTGACCTGCTTACAGGAGATTTCAAGTTTTCCGCAGTACCTGAGAGGGAGAAGAAGGAGGTCGTAGGATATGCCGCTTTCTTCCGTCTTAACAACGGCTTTGAGAAGACATTGTACATGACAAAGGGTGAGGTCGAGGCGCACGCCAAGCAGTACTCACAGACATACTCAAGCAAGAATGACTATGTGCGTGGCGCAAGCAAGTGGTCAACGGATTTTGACGCCATGGCTAAGAAGACAGTCCTCAAGCTGTTGCTTGGCAAGTTTGCCCCTCTGTCCGTGGAGATGCTTGATGCGAGGGATGCGGACCAGGCGGTTATCCGTGAGAATGGATACAACTACGTTGACAATGCCAATGGTGGCATTCAGGAGGCGGAAGAGGTCCTTGAGCAGGAGAAAGCCGAGGAGGCGAACAAGGAGACCATAGGATTTGAGGAAGCGCCACAGGAGGTGCAGGAGCAGGCGCCTGAGGCACCAGGATGGTAAGAATGGAGCTTAAGGTGTTAGGATCCTCTTCCAGGGGGAACTGCTATATCTTGGATAATGGAAGGGAGGCGCTGGTATTGGAAGCCGGCGTGCCCTTCTCCAAGGTGAAGCAGGAGATGAAAGGAGAGATTGAGAGAATAAGGGCGTGCCTGGTATCCCATGAGCATGGAGACCATGCCAAGTATCTGGGGCAGGTTCTTGAGGCAAGGATAGATGTAATGATGCCGGATGTGATGATGGAGGCGTGGGCAAAGTTCAGGGGGCTTGTACATGAGGCAGGGATAGAGTCCTTTGACGGTTTCAAGGTGATGGCGTTCGCCAACAACCACGATGTGCCTTGCGTGGGTTACATGGTGCATCATCCCGATATGGGGACATTGGTATTCGCAACGGATACAAAGTTCGTGTCGTACAAGTTCAGCAATGTCCGTACGTACATGATAGAGGCGAATTACAGCATGGAATTGCTCAAGGATAGCCTGGAGAGCGGAAGGGTGCAGATGAGCCAGTACAGGCGTGTGGTGGACTCGCATATGAGCATCATGACAGCGAGGGAGATGCTGGAGGCTAACGACCTGTCCATGACATCAAACATTGTCCTTCTTCATCTATCTGATGGCAATTCTGATGAGAATGCGTTCAGAGAGGATATATATGGAGTTGTCCCATACTCTCTTCTGATACTCGCTCAAGTCATGTACACCCTCCACATCCTCCATGAACTCCTTGAACAGTATCGGCTTCTCATTGAAAGCCATCACCAACTTAGGCAATTTGTACTCCTTGCGATGCCCGATGAAGAAAACCCTCTCGCGCTTCTGAGGCACGCCCATTGAAGCCGCATTTAGAAGGAACACCTGCACATCATAGCCAATCTCATTGAGCCTTGCAACAATGCGCTTGGCATAACTCTTTGCATTGCCCTTGACAAGTCCGCTGACATTCTCCAGCAGACAGCACTTGGGCATCAACTTTGCAATGGTATCGCAGTATACAAATACCAGATCATCCAATGTCTGCAGTTTCTGCCCCTCGGCAAATCTCTTCTCCTTGCCCCATGCTCCCTCTCTTGAACCGGCTGTAGAGAAAGTACTGCAAGGTGGCGAGCCATCAAGCAGATCCAGCTGATACAACTCCGCAGGGAGGTCATGCAATGCGTTGAAATCCCTGATGTCCATGTTGTACAAATATCTCGGATGATGGTTCTCCTTGTATATCTCCGCAATCTTCGGGTCTAATTCCACCCCCCCCAAATGCTCAAATCCTGCCAGCTTGTAGCCCATGGATGAGCCACCGCCACAGATGAAGGTGCCAAACACCTTCTTGTGATGCGCCTCAATACCCTTTGCAGGATATCCGTCCGCAATCCTCCACTCATACGGGAAACGATGTGGAGCGTATTGTATCTCATTCCTCGCCATATCCCAGCATCATTAAAAGTGCGACACCATTGTCCTTGTCATACTGCATCAGTCTCTTCTTAATGAAATGGAACTGGTCAGGAGTGAATTTGAGCGAGAACTCAATCTTGCCATCATTGTCATCCTTGGCCCTCTGCTTCTCTTCCTCCTCGGCAAGCTCGACACCCCAATCAAGAAGAGGAACATCATTCCAGGATTCCCTCAGTTCCTTCTCATCCCATTCGCCATAATTGACATTATCCTTGATGGTAAGTTCCTTGAGGAAGTCCACAGACACATTCTCATCAAGCACCTTGCAAGGCGCCTTGCGGTATCCAAGTTCCTCCATCGCCCTGAGCCTCATATTACCGCATACAACGACATATTTTCCGTCATATGGGTAAACTATCAGCTCACGCATTCCAAGCATCTCAGGATTGTCCTTTATGCTCTTCTTGAGCCTCTCGAATTGCACATCCACCAACTGCCTCGGATTGGTAGGCAGTCCCTCTATCTGTCCATAGTTGCTCTCAAGCATGTTAAGAGACAACATCTGCGTTTCTACAATTTCCCTCATACCTTAAAAAGCCAAATCATCCTCCGCATACATCTCATCACTCTCTCCCTCTTCTTCTCCCTGCCATCCAGCAAGCACAAGAAGCGCATGGGCGTTGTCCTCCGCATCTACCTCGTTCAGTTTGGACTTTACCCACATCAACTTGTCAGGTTCCAAAGAAATCTTCAGTTCCATGTCCTCCTCGAACAGGTCTGTGTCAATCTCCTGGTTCTTGTCACTGTAGTCAGTAGCAAGCGCCCCGTCATCAAAAGACACATCAAGCCCCCACGACTCAAGAAGATTGGTGTCCCACTCGTTTGCAAGCGCATCCATGTCCCACTCACCAAAGCCAGCATTGTCCTTGATGGTGTACGCCTTCATCTGCTCAATGGTGGTCTCCTTCGGCAGGATCTTGCACACAGCCTCCTTCTCGCCAAGCTCAGCCAACACACGATGGCGCATGTTACCACCAATCACAATGTATTTCTGCACCCTTCCTGCTTTTGGCAGCGGATACACCAGAAGCTCACGCAGAGACAACATCTCCGGCATCCTGCTTATGCTTTCCTTCAGACGCTCGTACTTGTCATCCCTGATGAATCTCGGATTCTTGGGCAGTCCTTCCAGCTGTCCACGGTTCTGCTCAATGTCCTTGAGAGGAACCACCTTGATTGTCACATTGTCCATATTATCATCATTTTAATGCGCTTGCAATGCAAGCACAAAGTTAATCAATCTTATTGCAGTTCAATCTCTTCAATCTGGAATTCAACCCTTGGATTCTTAGGATCTATAAGTTTCCTTGAATGAATCTCCACGCATTGGCGGTCATTCTTGATAACTCCACATGTCTGCAATGCATCCAGAAACAGCTTGAATGAGCCATCAAGGTCCTTGCGATTGCTCTTGAAATACACATCAACCGTTATCTTGAACAATCCCGAAATTCTTGCATCCCTCAGACTGCACTGCTTGTAGAACTCCCTCTCATAGTCCTTGACAGCCTTTGTCTTCACCATGGTGTAATGACCACCAAGAACAGCAATCTTATAGCCATTCGATTTAGAGACAATATCTCCGTAGATAGTCTGTTTCGGATACACTTTGCTTGTACTCATCTTCATCAATTATTATCAATTCAACATTTGCATAATACTTTCTCATCAGATCTATTCCCTTCTTGCCTTTAGGCGTCATCCATCCCTTAACCTCAAAATAGACTTTATCCCCATTGGCTTTGGTTATTTCAAAATCTGGCCTATAGCTTCTCACGCCTCTCCGCTCTAAAGGGAAATCAAACACAACCTCCTCATATGTCCATTCTGCAACCCAACCTTTGCTCTTGTAGGATTCCAAAATGTCTGCAATACTCTTTTCCCACGTGGAACGGAATGTGCAATGCTTAGTCCCATAATCAACATCAATCCTCTTGCCTATCGAATATGAGGATGATATGGTACCATTCATCCTGCTCTGATGCATCACATCTGAACGCCTCTGCCTGTTTTCTTCTGTATTGTGAGCACTCCCTGGATCCTTCCATTCACTCCTGACACGTTCTGACATCTTGCGCTTGAACTCTTCAGAATGATGCTTGCCCAACATTCCACGTGAATGCCCTTCCCTCTTTATCCTCTCAGACATAATCCTTCCCTGATTGAGCCTTTTATCTTCTGGCATCTTACTACCATAACTTGTAAGCCCCAAAGCCTTTGCCTTACGGCTGATGAAAGGCACAGTTCTTCCCATCATCTCTGCAAGAGTCTTCAAATCCCACCTGTCCTTGTATTCCTGGTAATGCAGAAGAAGAAACTCCTCATCCTCCTTGGTAAAACGATTCATCTTGCGGACCAGCCCCAGCTTGTCCAATCTCGCATAGACCTTCTGCCCGCTGATTCCCAACTCATCCCCAACTTTCCACACATTGCCAAGCCTCTCGTATGCCTCAATCAGCACATCATCATTTATCTTTCCCATAATTCTTACATCCTTGTCTTTGACAGCCCATGCTGCCTCTTGTATGATTTGATTTGTGACAGTTTTCTCCCCAGAGCCATCGCCACCTCCTTGTCCTTGGCCTTGTTCCTGTACATCTCCCTGATAAGTTCCTCCTCCTCTGGCGTGTATTTCTTCCTGGAGTTCTGTGGCACATAATTGGTCTCTGTGGCACCACCCTTGCGCTTTATCTTCTCCATCACACCTGACTCCCTGGTATACCTCTCACGCTGTCCATGCAGAGCCTTCTGCCTCGCAATCAGCCTCTCCGTCCACTCACGGTTGGCCTTAATCAAATCATCCATCTCACTCATGCCAATTCCGTCTTAACAGTCCTATAATCACAAAGGCCACCCATGCCACCACTACGATGACACAGATGACCAAAAACCATATTTCCCTATCCAGCTTTCTTCTGAGCTCTTTCAGCCCTTTTCCTGTCCTTCTCATAACGCTTGTTGACATATGATATTGCCTTGTTCTCAACCATCTTGTATATCTTGTCTGACAATTGTCCCCACTCAAAGCGCATCTCATCATCCTTGCTGTCCACGTCCATCGTGTGGACCAGCTTTGCGGACAGCCTCTTTATCTGCTTTACATCATCATAGATGGACAGATACATTCCCGACAGCTTGAGTAGCTTGGAATTGACATCCGTCGCTACAGTATCAAGCATGTCAATAAACATAAGCATCAGCATGGACCTGTATTCCCATTGTTTCTGCTGTTCCTCCGGCAGATCCTTGAGAAGCACGCCAAAGGTTTCCTTCTCATGCTCCACCATCCATTTCATCTTATCCTCCACCTTCTTGAGATCATTATCTATAGCGAAAGCCTGCGCATATTGGCCGTTTCTCATAAGCTTTGCCCTTTTCTGCTTCAGCTTCTCTATCTCCTTCTCCAGTATATCAAAATCTACTCTCATAACTTTTTCCCCTTCTGTATCTGTTTGACCTTGTAGATCCAAAACCTATATGACACCATCTTTTGCCTAAATGTGGCATGATACCCGAAGTCTATCAAGGCATCAGCCTTGCGTGTCATTCTTGCTTTCCTTGCTCCCATATCCAATAAACTCTAAAAACCTTTTTGCCGTTATCAGCACATCATTACTCGTTGGTCTGTATCAGTCTATCCTGTACACTTCTATCGCAAGCCTTATGGCTTCAATCTTGATTTCTTCCTGTGTCATAATTCCATCTCCTTTCTAAACATTTCAATATAATCCTGTCTGTTGATTACCTTGATTTCCCCGTCAATCTCAATCTTAACTGTTGGGAAGAGGGTGTCTTCGAGAAACTTACAAGCCTTCTCCTCTGCAATCTCAAAACCTTTCATCATGGCATCCACCATTGCATTAACG